GCTTCTTCGATCTGCGGCATTCCACAGGGATCCATTTTAGGCCCCGCCCTATTTGGGTCCATATTGTATTGCCTATCACTGCAGACCACGCCCACTTACCCGCCTCAGGTGTAATCAGACACTGATTGGTTCCTTAAGCTGAGGCTCAAGAATTTCATCCCCATCAGTGACAACAAAACCACATATTTCGTTTTTAACACCCTCACAAATATAACTTCATCTCTCCTGCAGACAAATATCCAACTGATGACTTGTTGAATGGTCACTTCCTGTGGTGACATGACAAACTCTCTCAGCACCATCTTTATTCACGTTAAACCAACCCTGCTGGGCTCTGATTGGTTAGAAACTGGTGTGTTTGTTGTTAAACGAGTTCAAGACAAAAAACTGAAGCTAAAGAGGAAGTGAGATCACGGGTTGTGACCCTTCTACTCACCGATAGCGAGGCCGTCGCTGAAGTTGTGCAGTCCATCTCCCATGATGACCATCCAGGCCAGCGTGGCCACTCCGGCCTCCTGGAAGTGCTGCTCCGAGTAGGAGTGGGAGTGGCTGTGCGGGTGGTGGTTCTGAGAGTGGTGGTGGTGCAGGATGTGATGGTAGTCGTGGTGGTGGTGGTGCCTGCTGTCCGTCTGTCCGACCGTGTCATGGAAGTGGGAGTGGCATTTGTTCTCGCAGTCCTCGTCGGTGTAGTTAGCGGCGCTCCCCGACGCTCGGCCGTAAGCCTGCGGCGAAACGACGGACACCTGCGGCGCCAGCATCACCTGCTCCTCCTCCGCCACGCTGCTGCCGTGCAGGCTGCTCGAGTGGTCGCCGAACGTGCTGGCGCCGTTAGTCTCCACATCTGGAGACACAATGTGGAGATCTGGTCAGGTTAGGCCGGGAGGTCGACCTCCGCCTACGCCGTTTCAGAGGTCAGAGCTCTGCTCTATGGTGGATCGAGCTGCAGCGCTTAAAGCCTTCACGCCAAACGTGACATCACAGCTGTTAATATGCACCAAGCTGACACAAGCCGTCATACAGAAACACATCTCAGCTCTCGGCTCGAGTGACGCTCGGCTTCACTTTGAGTTGTTGAACAAAACACGAAATAATTCACCGACTTCGCTTCGTCTCTCACCTTCACTCGGCTTCACGCTGTTCTCCTCCAGCGCCGGCTGTTTCTCCGGATCCGCGTTCTCGTTCTGATCACACTTCTTCTGGATCTGCGTGGAGTTCGTACAAACTCATCAACATCAACATGAAAGGACCAGTTTTCAGTTTTCTGACAGCAGCACGAAGGTTTGTAGTGTGCAAAGTGTCCCAATTAACTCTCTGTCATAGAAATGCACAGAGAAGGAAAGCTGATGCTAAATCTCACCGTTTGTGTCCGACTGTATCTTTGCAAAGCGTAAACAGAGGATGCATCGATTTTTCATGGCGTTTGAAAAAGTACAAAACTGCAAAGTCAAGTTGAAACCAAACGCCGGCGGCGATCTGCAGCCACGCAGGGGAGCGGACTTCAGAAACTCCCTCAGCTGAAAAAAGGCGACGACAGCAAAACATGTTCCTCGGAGCCAAACCTCAAAGTGTTCGAGCTGAGTCGGGGATTTCTGTGAAAAACTGAAATTTTGAGGTGTTTGTGTTCATCCAATTTCATGGCAGAAGGCTGCGCCGCACACTGCATGTAAACTATGTGATCAAAGAGCTTTTTTAATGAAATCTCCCACACGTCTGTGGAGCTGCCTCAAAGATCTGTGCAAAGCCCCAAAGAAAGATCCTTAACTTTGACATCAGGATGTTTGGACAAACAGGCCGTCTGCCTGTGAGACTGTGACTGTATGATGCTCTGTTCTGACCTTTGGTTATTAACTGAGGGCTTTAAAGTAACTAAATTCTAAGTAAGAGCGGGCTGCATGATGCGACTCAGGTCTCGGTGTGTTAAACGGTCAGTTTAACACACCGAGACCTGAGTCGCATCATCATGTCTGCACGAACAACAGGACTCAGGAGTGTTAAACGTCATTCTGACTGTTAGAGAAACTCGCCGTCTCTCACCTTCTGTTTCTTCTCCTTGTACATCTTTCCGAGCGTCAGGAAGTGCTCGATGAGAAACATGAAGTAGACGCCGCTCAGAGCCGTCAGGCCCTTCCACACCGCGTCCAGGTTCTCCTCGTGCTCGTGGTCGTGGTGTCCCGTCATTGCTGCGTCGTCATCGTGGTGGTGATGGTGGCCTCCTTGAGACTGATCACACAGCGTTAGCTTAGCTTAGCATAAATATGTGACACAGGGGGAGCAGCAAGAACTAAATATTTAGACTGAAAGTATCTCATGTATGTTTACACATCGACTGATGATGATGATGATGAAGCTCTTTATTATCAGAACAAAAGCAAACAGAAAAACTGTCACAAATCTCTGTAAACGGTTACAAAATGTTCTTTATCTGATTGTTCTTAAAAAATAATTTAAAGTTGTGCTTGTTGTGATCTTTGAATGCATATGATGTCACACACGTGACACATGATCCTCATTTATAATGGAGTCTGCGTGTGTCTGTGAATGTGTAAACATGTTGCAATGGCCGCTTCCCTTTTGTCCACATCACTCTTGAACAAGACGTTTACAGTCTCAGTGAGTTTTAACTGGAAAAATGAAGACTATGATAAAATAATAGAATAATTAGAGGCGGATCAATCAGCTGGCTGCTGATTAGAATTAGAGACGTGATCTAACTGCTAGATCAGGTTTGGTTTTAGAGCTCGACAAAGAGTCAAATCTGATAAAAAAGGATTCGAACACACTCGCTTCACCTCACTGCTGCAGGAGATTTACAAACGTGCAGCTAAGCAGCCTCTCTGCCTGCTGGCTCGCTCTCCGAGCATGAACGTCACGTGTTGTAAGACTTCCTGTGATTCAGGTGGTCGCGCTCTGCAGGGACTCACGTGGGGGATGAGGTGCAGGAAGGCGTCGCCGCTCAGCGTGCCCACGGCCAGCGCCACCAGGAAGCTGAGGAGGAACTTGAAGAAAACTTTGTTCATGAGCGGGATGAGGACGACGCCGAGCAGAGACAGCAGGCTGATGATGGTGATGGAGAGGAAGCCGCCGACCCACGCTGCAACACAAACACAAGCTTCAGGAACATCAGAACGCTGCTGACAGAAAAGACCGCGGCGTCTCTGCTTCCAGAACACGACGCGGTGATTCTTCAACTTCGGCAGAAACTCAGTGCCGACCCAGAGCGATCCCTCCGAGTCGTGACCTCAGCTGGTCTCACTCTGCTGCAGCAGCAAAGAGGCGGCCCTCGAGCAGTCGCAGTCTGAAGTGTCCTCACTGTGTTTTTGTTATCTTTAATCATTTATTCGTTCTTTCCCTGATGAACTCTGAGCTCGTCAACGTCCGGCAGCTCAGCTTTCTGTTGCTGTCCAAACTGTAGCTGCAGACTGCTGCACGGACACGTTCACAGGACCACAAATTTCACTTCAAAGATGCTCTCACCTGACACGAGTCTGCAAGCGGAGCTGCTCGATGAATAATCAGTTTTAGTTTGATTCATCTGCAGCGTCTGACACCAGCGCTGTCAGATCCTGTTCATCACACTATCGGACATTTCACAATTACATTTACAGACTACATGTCGTCATCCTTCTTACTACACTGTTGACACACAGCTGTG